AAAAAAAAAAAAAAACACATCTTAGTAAAACCAATACCTTCTCAGCTTCGCATCGAAGCTAAAAAAATTAGAAGTGATAGAAAAAGTTTAATTGCAGATCTGAAAACAACGCGAAAATGTGATTTAGAAAAGTATATTTTTGCTTTTGATGAAAGTTCCTTGTAGTCCAGTGCATTTATTTATAGTAACAAATAGTTTTTATTGAAAAATATTGTATCAAGCCCTTTAAATTTTTATACACTTAAAAGTAAAGCAAAATAAAACTTCTTTATTATTTTTATAATTTCTCCGTATAAATTACTATAATAAATTATTGAATATCAATTTCATACTAAATTTAACAATTATTATTAGTATTTATTCATATTTTATATTTTAAAATCAAAGAACTACTAAGCAGGATATAATCAAAGAAATAAGAGTTGATGTTGCTTTTGGAATAATCCAACAATTTCTCTAAATGGAACACTATCTACAGATTTGCATCGAAGCGTTTCTTATGATAGTGATTTTAATCACTATCAAATATCATCTATACTTGTCCCATCTATGCCTCATTCGCACTGTGCCTCGACCCCACTGTGCTACCGTTTTTTTACATAAATATGAATGAAAAATTGTGTGTACAATTTAATTTTAAATTAAATTTTATTATTGAGTTAAATGTTTTCAATTTATTAATCCATACAGACATTGTTAATACCATTATTCTATCTTTATTATAAACAAACTGTTAAATTTTTTTATTAAAAATAACCAAAACTTTCTTTTAGTAAATCAAAATAAAAATATTTCAATGTAATAAATAATATGAAAAATATTTGCTTGTTTTAGTGGACAAAAAATGTTTAAAAGTAAATTTAATGTATTGAAAATTCCTTTTTTGAAATAGACATGATATTTCTTAATTTTGATTAAAAAATAATGTAACAAAAAAAGTTATTTGTTTAAAATTCATATTGCGACCTTTGTTTTTACATTAAATATAATTTTATAATAATATTATACTAATTTTTAAAAATAAAAATGATTGTATTTTATTCCTGTAAGCCTTAGCTTTTGAGAAAGGATTTATACATATTTTTTGAATTTTTATTGATCTATTATTATTTGATGAAACAAATTAAAGTTTGTGTATAAGTATTGAAATATTTAATTAATTATGAACTTGTATTTCCTATGATACAAATGCATAAGAACTTAATCAACGTTTGTTGAATTCTAATCATTGTATTTTATACTTATTAATGTATTGATAAAACAGCTTTCTTGGACAAAACCTCAATCTTTATACCAAAAAAATTCATCATGACTGGTTATATATTAATGGAATAACATTGCTGAAGTCTCACCATGTTATGAGATCGGTTTAATGTTACACAAATTCGTTGGTATGGTGTTTTTATTAAAAAAGATACTAAACACAAATTGTTTCATACTACAAAAAATTTAAATGGGAAATATTGTATTTAATATTTTTGCATATTGAGGTTCTTTTTTACAGTTTAAAGTTGTCTACCTTACTTATTTACTTTTGTTATCATAATTAAATCCATTAATCAATACCCTAGTTCTAATGCAACTAACATACATTTAATAATATTTCATACCGGTATGCATGAACATTCTCGTTTAATATTCTTATTTAAGAACTTGGGGTCTAAAAAAATAATAAAAATCATCAATCTTTTTTCTATTATAACTGAATTATTAACCCAACTCAGTTTATAAACTTTTTTTCTACATTTTTTCAATGTAATTTCTATTTCTTTTATATTTCTCATTTCTATAATAACTTAACTAATAGATTTGGCCAAAAGCCTTAAGAAATTTGTACTTAAATGATCCAACCATAATCAACAATTTTTATGACATTTTATTAATGTATGAACCTGAACACAATTCAAAAATTATTTTAACATTATTAATACAAACATTTTTTTCCAATTAGAAGTATTATTACTAACAATATATAATTATTTCCTTATAAAACATTGTAAAACAATCCAGGAGGAACTAGCCTTAAACAATTACTTTACCCGGGTTGTCTTAAGTCGTTTATTTATAATAATAAAAACAAGAATATGTACAACACACATAGTAAATATAAAAAATAAAAAGAGGGTATTAACAATGATTGCAAAACCCATTTAAAAACTATAACTATAAACTCTTGCACTCTGCTTTATCCGCCTGCATTGAGAAATGTTTTCATAGTTAATCTGGTGATTTTTTTACTTTATGTAGATACTTAAAAAAGCAGCACCTATGTCCTTGCTTTGAGTTAAGCAGAAGTCTATATCGCTATGAGATTTTGCAGATTACATACCAAAGATCTTATCCTTATGCCAGTAATTACAGCGTCTAGTTGTATTTTACAGATGCAATATCTGTTCTATCGCAGCGTTATTCTCTAGTTAGAATCTTCAAATCCTACATAAACCTGTATTTATTCTATTACAAAAATTTGATTGAAGGAGTTCCTCTGAAACAAGAGAAAGTCCCATCCGCAATCGTTTTTTGCGCTTTTGCTACTCATTCTTCTATTTTAATTACAATAGGACCAGGTACTACTACCATAGTGTTGTTTGCAAATTCGTAAATAGTAGCACCTTTTGAAAACTGGTGTATGAAAACCACATTATATGTTAATTTTCTTCAGTAATGGTCTTATCATTAATCCCTGTGGTACACTTAATGAGACTGGATTTACTGACTCCTGTCCAGTGTAAGGGTATAATATTAGCGCATTACATTTCAAAAAATAACTTGAAGATAATCTTGAATCTTTTAATCGGTCAAAAAGTTTGCATATTGTGCCGCCACCAACCAGACAATTTAAAAGAATTCTTACCATCTAAATTAACTGGAAAATTAAACAGTGTAATCTCCTTACGTAAGAAGACAAGGTGTGCCTGTTTTCACCGCGTTGAAAAACAATCCATCGCCAGATATTTGTTGAACAGCGAAGCTAAACAGTCACCACTACATAGATTACTACCAATATTCCATTGGCTATGCATTTTGGTCCGGCGACTTTAATCTTATGAATAATACTTTTTAATGTCTAAATCAATTTCATAGCTTTTTAATTTTAGTAGTACTTTTTGGCTTTGCGACAAACTTCATCAGGTTTTTTGGATAATTAATTTTATATTCTGATGATGCATATTTTCTTACGTTTTTCCTGAAATTATTAATTTTTAAAATTATAATTTTTATCAAAGTAGTAAGTACGAAGACTGAAAAATTTATGAAATAGGATCTGATGAAGTGCCAGTGAAGTGTTGCAAATGTTAGGGGATCGACAAATAAGGTGGTTGAAAGATCTATTTAATAAAGTCTTAATAGAAAGGAAGATGCTAAAAAAGTGGAGGAAAAGTTTTGTTGTACCTCTATTAAAGGCAAATGAGATATACAGGAATGTAGATATTATAGAGACATAAATTCAAAGTGTCTAAATCTGGGAAAATATATAAATACGAGAATAAGATGATTAAAAACCAGTTTGGCTTTTTGCTTGAAAAGTTAACGATGAAGCTATATTTTGTTGAGAAAACTAATGGAAAAATGTAGAAAGAAGAATAAGCTTTGTATGGTACTCATTGATTTGAAGGTTTAAAACAAAATACCGAGAGAGGTTTTAATATGGACATTAATGAAAAAAGGA